TGTATATAAAGGGTGGTAAGGTATTTAAATCTCCTGCCTTGTTTTTCAGTGCGTTGATAATAAGGGAGACTTCATATGGGTTAGTCGGAGCTAGGAACAGTGTGTTCGGGTAGTTGGCAGTGAGGTAGTCATTTGGTGGGGTATCTGAGCTTGGGATTTTATTGGCAAGGTTTTGGCCTATAGTGGAGAAGAAATCATTGAGTCTGTTTGCTGTTTCTGTTGGTGGGAGTTGGGGTTCATCTGATTTTGCTAATTTTATTTCGCTATGTCGTGATATCTTTTTTGTTCCCAGAATTTCTGATAGGGTCTTCCAGGTCTTTTTTATATCACTTCGTAAGTTGGATAATCTGTTCTCATAATACAATTTTTTTGCCCTTCTTATCAGGCTGGTTAGGATTGACGAGTAACGTTTTGTTTGGTCTCTGGTTATGTGACCCATTCTGTACTGTTTTTCATATCGGTGTTTTGTATTTATGGATTTGAGAATGCTGGGTAATATAAATGGATAATATAAATAACAAAAAAAGGCACAATACCGTGACTGGAACGATACACAAATAACCCGCACATAGAAGAGAGGAGCTTACGACGACATTTCAGTCTGACTTGGACCACTTACAAAGACACAGTGTGACTTTGTGAATAGTCCAAGTCGGACCGAACCGTCGTCGTAAGCTCCTCTCTTCTATGTGCGGGTTATTTGTGTTTGGATAATATAATATAGTCATGAATGATTGGTCATGGTTTACAGTGACCTAATAATTAAATCAGACCTATTAAAAACCCATAAGACAGACCATGGTGTGCATGGGGGCCTTACCCATGTCAGGAAAATTGGAAGAAATAAAAAATTGCTACTTCCAGTCCTGAAACCAGTCTAGATCACGCCTATTTCAGTAGTAAGTTTTCCATTCTAGCAAATGATGCCAAGAAACAGTCAAATAAAACCATAAAAAGCAAAGTTGCTACTTTTAAACCAATTACAGTGGACCCTCAGTTAACGACGTCATCAGATAACGACACGTTTTTGTAAAGTCACTCGTCCCGAATGTGTCCATGCGCCGTGAGCAGTCCTGCCACTCCATGTACAGCCAGTGTGCCATTGTTTACAAGCCAGTGAGGACACTTCCACGCATACTTGCGATACATTTTGTATTATTCTATTGTTTTTAGTCCTTGTAACTGGTAAAGAAGTCACCATAGGCCCAAAGAAAGCTTCTAGTGCCAGCCCTGTGGTAAAGAGGGTGAGAAATACTATTGAATTCAAGAAAGAGATCATCGCAAAATATGAGAGTGGAGTGCGGGTCTCCGAGCTGGCCAGGTTGTATAACAAACCTCATACAACCATCGCTACTATCTTGGCCAACAAAAAAGCAATCAAGGAAGCTGTTGTTGCGAAAGGTGCAAATGTGCTTACAAAACAGAGATCGCAAGTACTTGAAGATGTGGAGAGACTGTTGTTGGTGTGGATCAACGAGAAACAATTATCAGGAGATAGTGTTTCACAGGCAATTATATGTGAAAAGGCAAGGCAGTTGCGTGATGATCTAATTAAGAAAATGCCTGGAACTAGTGCTCATATTGGTGAATTTAAGGCCAGCAAAAGTTGGTTTGAGAGATTTAAGAATCATAGTGGCATACACAGTGTGATAAACCATGGTGAGGCTGTCAGTTCTGACAAAAAAGCGGCTGAAAAATACATGCAGGACTAAGGAGTACATAGAGGCTGAACAATTAAAACCCCAACAAGTGTTCAATTGTGATGAAAAGGCCTGTTTTGGAAGAAAATGCCAAACAGGACCCACATTACTCAGGAGGAAAAGGCACTCCCAGGACACAAGCCTATGAAAGGCAGGTTAACTCTCATGTTTTGTAGTAATGCTAGTGGGGATTGCAAAGTGAAGCCTTTGTTCGTGTATCACTCTGAAACTCCCAGAGTGTTCAAGAAAAAGTGTCTTCAAGCCTAAATTGTGTGTGACGTGGAGGGCAAACAGTAAGGCATGGGTCACTAGGGACATTTTCCTTGATTAGTTCTATGACGTGTTTGGCCCCAGTGTGAAAAAATACCTCCTGGAAAATAAATTGCCACTCCAGTGCCTCCTGGTAATGGACAATGCTCCTACTCATCCTCCAGACTTGAAAGAGCAAATGGTGCAGGAGTTTCGTTTCATCAAAGTCAAATTTTTACTTCCTAACACCACTCCTCTCCTCCAGCCCATGGACCAGCAGGCCATTTCAAATTTCAAAAAACTGTACACCAAAGCAGTTTCAAAAGTGCTTTGAAGTGACCTCAGATATTGAACTGACCCTAATAGAGTTCTGGAAAGATCACTTCAGTATCCTCAGTTGCATAAACCTTATAGTTAAGGCTAGGGAGGGAGTGACTTGCAGGACTTTGAACTCTGCTTGGAGAAAATTGTGGCTGGAATGTGTACAAGAGAGGGATTTTGAAAGGTTTGGGGCTAACCCTGAGAAACCTATGCCAGTTGTGGAATCTATTGTGGCATTGGGGAAGTCCATGCGGTTGGAGGTTAGTGGCGAGGATGTGGAAGAGTTGGTGGAGGATGATGATGAAGAGCTAACCACGACAGAGCTGCAAGAGCTTAAGGTGCAACAGCAACAGACCACAGCTCAGGAATTTCCTTCAGAGGAGGGGGAAGAGAGATGGAGGAAGTTGCCTTCTTCAATAATTAAGGACATTTGTACAATGTGGACAAAGGTGCAAGCATTTATGGATGAACATCACCCTGACAGAGCTGTTGCAAGCCATGCTGGCAACATCTACAATGACAATGTTGTGTTCCATTTTAGGGAAATCTTAAAGACACGCCAGAAACAGAGCTCTCTGGACAGATTTCTGGTTTGACAGGGGTCTAGTGACTCTCAAGCTGGTCCTAGTGGCATTAAAACACAAAGAAGGGAGGTAACCCCAGAAAAGGACATGGTACCTAAAGTCCTTATGGAAAGGGATTCCCCTTCCAAACAGTAATATACCTCCATCCTCTTCCCTCCTCCCATCTCATCACTCATCAATAAGTCATCAATAAAGGTAAGTGTCATTTTAGTATTGTTTATTCTGCATGTCTCATTGTTTTCTGTGTAGGGAAATGTATATTTCACGTAAAAAAATTTTGTTTAATACTTTTGGGTGTCTGGAACGGATTAATTGGATTTCCATTATTTCTTATGGGGAAAATTAATTCAGATAACGACAGAATCGGTTAAAGACAAGCTCTCTGGGGGGCCACTGTACATGGTCAAGAGTTTTCCTTTTTCCCTCATATATGTGGGGGGCAGGATTTCTTTTTTTTTTTTTATGCTGTGCACACTCACTGTGCAGACCCATTCTCTCACATCTACATCATGAGCTTAGATATGAGCTCATAACGCAGAACTACGTGAGGTACCCTGGCCTCAATGTGGTTGCCACTAAAAGCGGATAAAACCTCACTTACACACTCCCTACCCCTTCTTACTTTCACTCCGGATTTACACACTATCTTGGTTATAAATAGTTTGCTCCATCCATTCTAAATGACCAAACCAATCAACAATTCTTCAGCATAAATTATACCTTTTCCTTATACACATGTTATATAATGAAAACTAAAGCACATTATTTTGAAATAAAAATTAATCCCTAATGCAAACAAGGAAAAGACAGCCCATTTTTAAACCTATTTCTGGCCAATTTCTGTGCTGAAACAAACCAATACCCCATGGTAGAGTTAATACTGAACGAGTTACTGGTAAGACAGAAATGAGGACAGCAAAGGAGAAGAGAGCTTTTAGGAAGGGTAGGGGATGTGAGGGCCCAGTATTTACACTGAACCATATAAGTGATAAGTACTTAGATAAAGGTAAACTGTTTGTGGCATTCATGAATTTAATAAAAGCACATGACAGTGTGGCTAGGAGAGCCAGGTAGCAGATACTGCATATGTATGGAATAAGCAGTAAGTTACTAAAAGCAGTAAGAAGGGCTCTGGCTAGGATTACATATGTAACAAGGTGGAGGACTACTTCCCAGAGAAGTAGGACTTAGACAGGAATGTGTGATGTCACCGTGGAAATTTTTTTAACAGATTTATGAATGGGAAATTATTTTATAACACTGCATTTATCCAATTTTGAGTTGAATTTGCTATTAAGTAAAATTTGCTATCAACCCCAAATTAACAAACTTTTTTTATTAAGTAAAATTTGCTATCAACCCCAAACTGACAAACTTTTTTTTTATTTACTGCCATCCCTTCAAATTTATGGGCTTTCTTAATCATTAGTTTCAATTACAGTATCAAGCTTTTCACTGAAGGGCAACCAGCAACTACATCCAATATTTTTCTGGCCAAGTGGCACCCATGCTCAAATCTCTTATTATCCTGGTAATTATATCTTATCAATATTAAACAGAGATATGATCTCTGAAACACAAAATGAACTCTAATCAAAATTTTCCGTAGACAATTTTGCATGATCCATTGTACCTCTAGGAAAGTAACCCCAAGAAATTTAGGGAAGATTGTATACTGAGTGCACTTTGCTTTTATTTTTAAATCTGTTTAAAAGAAAAACAATAATAATAATGTAATAATAATAATATATCTTTACTTCTACAAGTACAAGTACTTGCTATGCAGAGCATTTTGGGCAAATTAGGTCACACCAGTCAACTAACACCCAGGTACCCATTATTACTGATGGGTGAACACAGACAACCGGTGTAAGGAAACACACCCAATATTTCCATCCCTTTGCCGGGAATCAAACCCGAACTCTCACCACGTGAAACGAGAGCTATGCCACCAGGCCACCATAAATGACTCTTTCCTGAGTGAGAGTACAGTACCATAGTAGGTAAATCCTTTGTCAAATATACTTCTTTACATTTACATATGAATAAAAACAATTATAATGAATATTTTATCCTCACTTTAAAATTTAAGGGATGTCACAGGAATTAATATTAACACTAAAATAGTACATGTAATGTAACAAACCTCAGAAGGAGTTTCTTGAAGTGATGGTCGTTTCGCAAGGAACTGCTGTGGAGAGAGGAGCCCTCCTACACCAAGTGAAGGGAGGCCAGGTAAACTATTACGTGGACTCATCAGCCCTCCAAGACTAGCGGCTGCAGCAGCAGCAGCAGCGGCAGCGGCAGCAGCAGGGGGTAAAGGAAAGAGAGTATGTGGCTGGGGTGTAGGGAAACCCTTACCCCCTACAAGGAGCCCTGCTGACATGTGTGTGTGACGCTGGTTGCCAACACGAGGAACTCTGAAGGATCCACCAAGGAATCCATCACCAGTGTACTGCTGACTCCATCTCAATGGAAGAAAGGAAAAAGGTTGTGAGATTTGAAGAGCACTTTGACCTAAGACATCACAAGGCACTCTTAATAATTAAAAGTAATTGTTAACCTGCAATAAACACCAAGGTAAAACTATCTAGGACAAATAAAAACCACTACCATGAATTAGCAAAAATATAAATTTAAATACAAACTCTGAATTTTTTTTACATGAATATTATCAGATGGATAGGTAATACTTATTTCAATAAAAAAAAGATAAATAAGTATACAAGCTATGATACAGAGTGTAATGACAGTAGTTTGTTGGACTATGTATTAGTAGATAAAAGACTGGTGGGTAGACTTCAGGATGTGCATCTTTATAGAGGGGCTACAGATATATCGGATCATTATCTAGTTGAAGCTACAGTGAGCATAAAAGGTAGATGGGATACAAGGAGAAAGGAATCAGCAAGTAAGAGAGAGGTGAAGATTTATAAGCTAAAGGAGGCAGTTATGGTAAGATGTAAATAACTATTGGAAGACAGATGGGCTAGTGAGACTATAGGCAATGAGGTTGAAGAGGTATGGAATAGATTTAAGAATGTAGCATTAGTGTTCAGCATTAGTTTGTGGTTACAGGAAAGTGGGTGCAGGAGGGAAGAAGAGCAACTGGTGGAATGATGAGGTAATGAGAGTAGTATGAGAGAAAAAGTTAGCATATGAGAGGTTTATACAAAGTAGAAATGATACAAGGAGGGAGGAGCATATGGAAAGAAAAAGAAAGGTTACGAGAGTGGTGAAGGATTGTAAAAGGAGAGCAAATGAGAGAGTGGGTGAGATGGTATCAACAAATTTTGTTGAGAATAAGAAAAAAGTTTTGGAGTGAGATCAATAAGTTGAGAAAGCCTAGGGAATGAATGGATTTGACAATTAAAAAATAAGAAAGGAGAGTTATTAGATGAAAAGTTAGAGGTATCAGGAAGATGGAGGAAATATGTTGAGGAACTGTTAAATGTTGATGAAAATAGGGAAGCTGTGATTTTGTGCGTTGGGGAAGGAGGTATAACATCTTGTAGGAGTGAGGAAGAGCTAGTTGTGAGTGTGGGGGAGGTGCGTGAGGCAGCGAGTAGAATGAAAGGGGGGAAAGCAGCTGGGATTAATGGGATAAAAACAAAAATGTTAAACACAGGTGGCAATATAGTTTGGAATGGTTGATGCTTATATTTAACCCTTTGAGGGTCGACAGGCCCTCTCCGAAACTCGTTCTCAGGGTCGGCCAAATTTCAAAAAAAAAAAAAAATTATTTTTTCTTATGAAAAAATAGTTTTTTTTTCTAAACATTATAGGCTAAACAAAAAAATTTTAACGTCAATACTTACCGAGATATGGAGGCGTGAAATTTGCCAAAATTGAACAACATATGGTAACATCGCTGACTGCCGTCACCCGGTATTTTTCTATTTACTTTTTATGTACTATTTTCAATTATTTTTCAATTTTTCTTTTTCTGAGTAACTTTTATGGCCTCTGAGGCCAACATGATCAGTATTTTGTAAGTTATTTCTTTTTCAATACTACACAATAAGGGCGTAAACACTGTTGTCATTATTTTGTTTACAGAAAATATTTACACAAACAAACGATATGAAATGTTGTTTATTACTATTTTTCTATATTTTATATACACATATACAGTCACAGGGAATTTTTCTAGAAGTTCTGAAGCCTGTGGAACTCTTTGAAACATGGTGTCATGCACAGTGGAGTTTTACACTCCTCACACATAAAACGAGTGTCTCTGCGTTGTTGTGTGCGTTTTTTTGTATGTTAACAGATGTAACACCTCTTCTGAGCCTTTTTCTTCAAAGCAGTAGCAGGCAGTTTTACCAGGAAGTGATCACCATGCTTCAGACGAGCAGGTAGTTGTTGAAAATTTGGTGGGCGGTCAATTGCAGGTGCTGTTCCTTGGTACTTGAATACTATTTGTCTGATGACAGACAAACAGAATTCGCCGTACTGTGGTTTGTTTCTGGTGCTCATCTTATACATATTATAAGCATTGAGCATGGAAATGTCCAGAAGATGGAAAAACAGTTTGATGTACCACTTATAACTCTTGCGAACACAATCAGCAAACCCAATCTGCATGTCACATTTGTCCACTGAACACATGTTGAAGGTGTAATCAATCACAGCTGCAGGTTTTAGAATGGGTTCATTTCTCTCTCTATGCTGCCTGCCACTGTCTGCCATTTCATTAGGGTGAATTGATGACAACAGTGTGACATCTCGTTTGTCATGCCACCGAAATGCCATGATGTCATTGGCAGCAAACGCCTGCACCTCACCTCTACGAGTGCCAGCGTCAAACCTGGGCATATGTTTCCGATTTGCACGCACTGTGCCACACACATCTGTCATGTTCACTCGCAAAAAATCACTGAGTGAGGGGCTTGTGTACCAGTTATCTGTATATAATATATGCCCCTTACCAAGGTATGGTTCTATCATTGTTCGAACCACATCACCTGAGATGCCCAATAACTTCCTGGTATTTTGCAATGTATAACTTCCAGTGTACACAATAATATCCAATACCAGACCACTGTAACAATCACAAAGCACAAACAACTTTATACCAAAGCGTTTCCTCTTGCTTGGTATGTACTGCTTGAAAGAGAGTCTTCCTTTGAACAGAATCAAAGACTCGTCAATTACAAGCTTCCTGAAGGGATAAAAATGCGTACTGAATTTCTGTTTCAGATACACAAACACATTCCTAATCTTATATAACCTGTCAGTTCTGTCAGGCCTGGTTTTATCTGAGAAGTGAAGCATACGTAACATTAGCACAAATCGATTCACTGGCATTATATCACTGAAACCTGGTGTTGCAATCAGGGGGTCTGTTGACCAGTATGATTTCACTTTGTGCTTATACACATGTGGCATAAGCATTATTGTGGCAAAGAAAAGATACATCTCAGCCACAGTTGCCTCCTTCCACTGGTGTAGACGTGATTTTGGTGAAAGTAATGTGTTTGCCATGGTGTACTCGTAGTATGTGTTGCTTTCCATGACAATACTTTTCATCAGTGGTTCGTCAAAGAATAACTCGAAACATTCCAGTTCAGTGGCATTGTTCCCAAGTGCACAAGATGGCCGTATTCCACTTTGGCTGTCATCAAACTGGTGGGGATTTGGAACAAAATTGACAGCTTCCTGCCAATCCCAGGTGCGGTCTGCTGGTGGGTACTGGACAATGACAGGTGGTTGTGGTTGTGGAGGTTGTGGTTGTGGAGGCTGGTGTGGTGAGTGAGTGGGGGATGGTGGCCTTTGTTCTAGATCAGCTGAGGCAGCGGCGTGGGTGGCAGCATGGCCCACTGCTGGTGCCTCACCGCCGGCACCACTACCACCACGCACATTTTCCATCCCAATTGCAACAGTATCTTCGTCATTTTCACTGTCTGTTCCTGTTGTACAGCCACGGGATGTACTCCGAGATACACTCCTTCCCCTTGGTATAAACATATGGCACACTACCAGAGCGCATATATCGTCGTATATACTGACGCTTCACTGGGGAATATTGCACTTCACTATCACTACTGGAACTAGTTTGAAGAGCTTGTAGTTCATATTCACTATCACTATCATCACCCATGCTCTCATCTGAGTCTGGGATTTGGGAAAATAGAAGTTTCCTCTTGGGTTCTGGAACAACTGAACGTGAACAAGAGGGCCCAGCACCAGAGGTGGAAGGCTGAGGGTCGTCTGGGTTTTCCTCACTATTACCGATATTATGGTCATTAGTTTCGGTCAAAACCTCACTAAAACCACGAAACTCATCTTCACTGGCACTTCCATCACTATTAGAACTGTCACTGGAGAACAAAAGTGTCCCAATTCGCCAAGGAGTGAGGACCTTCTTACCGCGAGGCATGGTGAACATTGTTTACTAAGAGGGCATTCCCACAATGCACCACTGGGTCCCAGATTTTTTTTCTACCGCGCACACCGACCACGCAGACCCATTCTCTCACACCTAGGCCTACCAGCCTTTTCGCGCGAGATTTGAGGCCGCTAGAATTTATGCGTACTAGTACGTCAAAAACCCCTACGCGTAAGACGTACTAGTACGACCAAAACCCTCCAAGGGTTAATAAATGCATGGAACAGGGGAGGATATCTAGGGATTGGCAGAGAGTATGCATAGTGCCTTTGTATGAAAGCAAAGGGTACAAAAAGAGTGTAAAAATTATAGGAGAATAAGCCTGTCGGGTTGTAGGTAGTAGGTTGGTAGACAGCAACCGCCCAGGGAGGTACTACTGTCCTCCCAAGGGAGTGTAAAACGAAAGCCTGTAATTGTTTTACATGATGGTAGGATTGCTGGTGTCTTTTGTCTGTCTCATAAATATGCAAGATTACAGGTACGTCTTGCTACTTCTACTTACACTTAGGTCACACTACACATATGTGTACAAGCATATATATACAAACCCCTCTGAGTTTTCTGCTATTTTCTTTCTAGTTCTCGTCCTTGTTTATTTCCTCTTATCTCCATGGGGAAGTGGAACAGAATTCTTCCTCCATAAGCCATGTGTGTTGTAAGAGGCGACTAAAATGCCGGGAGCAAGGGGCTAGTAACCCCTTCTCCTGTATATATTACTAAATGTAAAAGGAGAAACTTTTGTTTCTCCTTTTGGGCCACCCCGCCCCACCTCGGTGGCATACGGCCGGTGTGTTGAAAGAAAGAAGAAGCCTGTCGAGTTGTAGGTAGTAGGTAGGTAGACAGCAACCGCCCAGGGAGGTACTACCATTCTGCCAAGTGAGTGTAAAATGGAATCCTGTAATTGTTTTACATGATGGTAGGATTGCTGGTGTCTTTTTTCTATCTCTTAAACATGCAAGACTTCAGGTACGTCTTGCTACTTCTACCTACACTAAGGTCACACTACACATACATGTACAAGCATATATCTACACACCCATTTGGGCTTTCTTCTATTTTCTTTCTAGTTCTTGTTCT